AAAATAAATTATATTTTTTAGTGTACATCATATTGGATTAGGTACTACAGAAAGTAGTACTTTTGAAATCAGTACTATACCATTGACTAGTCGATGGTACTACAGAAACGTTTAGGGTTTTCTCGCCAGCTATACTTTCTTTTCACAAAGTAAAACGTGATAACTTGTTTGTCTATCTGTGTATCGATAATTATAAATTGTTTCCTTCCTTTAATGCACCAGCAAATGTGTACAGAGACGAGTTTTTGGCAGTTTTTTTTTTTAGAAAACTAGCTATTATTTTACCAAAGAAAATTATGTTTTCTACTGTAATTTTTAAACTGTAAGAGATAGAAAGAAAACTGAAATACGTAAAATATTTGTTTAAAAAGGACCATTATAATTAGCCTATATGAAATTTTTTATACCTTGCTATTTAAGAATTTTGAGTTTTCAGCATTCTTTCATTCTTCAAATTTGAGATTGTTTTTAAAGTGGAAAATAATACGGAAAATGCCCTTACTACAAGTTATCTTAAAGAGTAGCCCAAGAATAAGCTTGGGAAAAATTTGGCGCTGTTCCGTTCAGTAGTTAGGGTAATACGGTAACTAACTTCAAAGTCCTTTTTTAAAACGTTTTGACCCACCCTGTAAATACGGTTAAAGATAATTAATTCTTTTGCACCAAAATGATCGGGATGATTAAACCTTTAAATGATGTATCACACCCCCCATGTTTACATTTGAAAATTTCTTATAAAACCCCTAACCCCCAAATTGGGCCCTTTTGGGGCATTTTTCAAAATTGAAAATAATTTTATTGGATTCGGCATGTCCAAATTAGGGGGAAATGAGAACGATTAAGTGTTAAAAGCCTTACCTTAAGGCACAACAGATATGGAAATTTTCAAATGAACACGAACACCATGTCATAAAACGTTGTAATACTTTGGTGAAAATTACTCATGTCATGCTCGGTGCTCTATTCCCCCCCCCCCTCCCCGATAATGCAGCATAAATTGGCACATTGGCGTCACCGATAGACAAAAAAAACTACAGAAATTAAGATAATTCCTGATTTCTTAGGATATAAAACGTAGAATATTAACAAAAAACTTTACAATTTGTTTTCGAATTAGGTAAGTAGTATAAATGCCTCATGCCTACGCTACCTAAGTACCTTATTTTTTCCCCTTTCCATAACAAAATGTTACTGTAGTATATCACGTTACTTGTCTTGTCCTGAAAATAGGAGTTTACGGAACGAGAGTGGTCGTTCCCGTGAAAGTTAAGTCGAGTACGGGATTACCATACGAGTCCGGTAAACACATTTTGGACGAATGGCGTACGATATTTTACACCATACTACTTAATCCGATCAAATCTTTATAATATTACCACCGATTTAAGGACTAACAATCACTAGTCATAACCTCTAAGAGAGGTTATGTTTTTGCTTATAAACTAAACACTCTCACTCATTGCCAAATACAGTATATAATCAGCTGGTTGGTGTCCGTTAAAACTAATTACAGTACAGTGTACGTAATGAAACCCCTTTGATTAAGCTGACGGCAAAGAGCTGTTTTCTGGACTAAATCCTTGCGTAGTAAGTTCGTCAAAACAGTGAGTACTTACTCACTAACTAAGTATATTACGTTATTAGTCCTGAAAATAGGTTCCCGTGCGACACGAAGTCGTATGGGATTACCATACGAGTCCGGTAAACACATTTTGGACGAGTGACTTAAGATATTTTTCACCATGCCACTCTAAGCTAACTTAACAATAAAAAATCCTTATATATATATCCACCGACTAAAGGACTAACAATCACTACTCATAACCTCTAAGAGAGGTTATGTTTTTGTTCATAACCACTCATTGTCTAATGTAATCATCCAGCTGGTTGTTGTCCGGTAAAAACTCATTACAATACATTAGTACGTAATTAAACCACATTTGACTAAAGCTGGCGGCAAACAGCTGTTTTCTGGACTAGGCCTAAATCCTTGCGTGGGAAGTTTGTTAAAATATTGTAGTGTGGCGTAATAATAATTTATTGAACATAAATACTCTTGAATAATACAGCATTGGTCTGTTTACCTACCATTATAGAATCCCCATTTCCTACAGTAAATAACACAGTATTATAATTAATAAACCCACCAATTAGTTAAAACCATCGATCTCAATAGAGATCGATGGTTTAAACAAACGAAACAATTATTCTGAATTAAATTATTGGTTTAAATCAGCTGTGTGACGTTGTATAACCCAATGTGCTGTTGAAACTTCTACAGGTTTACATTAAAAATCAGAGTAAATTCAGCACATTGTCTTCTTAAAATTATGTTCACATCTGATTAAAATATATATTGCTAATTTAGTGGGAATGAACAATATAAAAAAATATATGTCTATGACATGCTTTACAAATCTGATTTAAAACAATTATATCGTTAATTTAGTGGAAATCGACAACATCAAAATCGCGGACGAAAACTCACATTTCCCCACTATACCCGGAGAGAGGGATAGACGGCTGTGACGTCATAGTGTTGTAGGGGTTTTCGTGTGGAGGACAAGCCATCGGCTGGATCGGGGGCGTTGCCACAACGACTCTCTCCCACTCCACTCAGATAGAGAGAGGGGTGGTCGGCCGTGACGTCACAGTTCGGAAGTCTGTGTCGTCGGGAGTCTGCGTCGTCAGGAGCCCCTGGTATCGCACCGCTAAAACATACTAAATTTTTATCAAAATCGTTTGGGCCATTTTTGAGAAAATCCGATTTTTCTGGTTTTTTATGGGTTTTTATGGGAAAATCCCCATTAAAAATCAAAATTTCAAAAAAATGAAACAAAGCCTGGAGATACCATGGATTAGAACCTACATACCAAATTTCATCAAAATTGGACCGCAGGTGTAGTCCCTAGCTCTGTACACATCCAGACAGGGACCCAAAACGAATATATCCACTCAAAACTCAAACTCGAAAATTTTGACGAAAACAATACTTTCTCCATATACTATGGTATAGGGGGAGAAAGTAAAAATGATTCAGATGTTACAATAAGATACGGTAAGTCTACTTGTGTTAGTTAGTCTACGATTTTAGGTAGAGGGCATGATGTTATCAAAGTCAAAGATTATACACATTTTCATATATATTACATTTAATACCTAATAGATTAAGCCTACATTTCTTACGCACCCAACTGAACAAAATTTTTAAGGTAAGGTTGGCTGAGTCATTTTTTATAAAGTGGATTGTTTCTTGTTATTTAACCAATTTCCAAACTATTTTTTAAATTGGTAATAAAAGTCAGGGATATTTTAGGTACAGTACCTAAAAAATCTACTTTTTGAAAAAAGTTTTTTTCCACATAATTTTTGGGACAATTCATAAAGAGTCAATAGATAGTTGTTAGTAAGTCGGTAGCGTCGCGGACTTCGGACCCAAGGCAGCGATGTCGTGGGTTCGGATCCTGGTCACTGCCGATTACATCTTATCAGTACAGTTCACCTTTGTACTGTACCGGCTCACTCCTTGCTTTGCTGTAAACGATCCACGCACGGGCGCTTAGTCTATGTGGACGGGCAAATGCAAGGTTAAAAGAGGCCGCCAACCTCTTTTATAAAAAAAAAAAAAAAAAAAAAAATAGGAAATCATAAATGAAAGCATAGGTAGAGTAGACACAGTAACCAAAGAGACGTATGGAACAGAGGCTACACTCCATGGTACACAAGTGGTGTCTAGGGAAAAATCCCAACACCGGCCTCCTCCCCTCACCCTCATGTACTACAACGCTGGTAGAGGAAGACCCTGGGCCCTATGCATTAGAATTTCCGAACAGTGCTCGCAGTTCGGTCTCTGCATGTTCGTCACAAGTCTATTTCCGACACAACAAACCACATGCTGAAAGTTCACAGTTGTCCCATAAGCGTGTTTTCTCTGTACTTTACTTCTCTGAGCAGTAAATAAATTGTCTTTGGTTCACACTTGCCGAACCAGCGGCAGTTTAAAATCAAAAGAAATGGCAAGCTTTTAAAAAAAAAATCATGTGATTTGTGGAGGACTCCAAATTTCTGATCTACCACTTTTATCACATATAGCTAAGCCTCTTGTTCAATAACAGGCTTTGGTCCCTTAGTATCTGGGACAGAGGTCTCACTTACCACTTGACCAGCCTCGCCTATTGTATAATACCATTGATTATACACGTATACTCACGCACGTGTACACTCAATGATAATACCTAAGAGTCCCAACATGTAACACATTGCATACTAACTTTTTTAGCCAGTTGCACAAAACTTGGTCTAGTTTTGTGTCCTGAAACATTTCAATATTCCATATTCTCGTTTGACGACACTTTTACCATAACTTTACTGTTAAGGCTTTATCTTTCACTTTTTGTTTACGAATCTTACTAATATTATAAATCTGAAAGTTTGTGAGTTTGTGTGTATGTTTGTTGCTCAATCACGCATAAACTACTGGACGGATTGGGCTGAAATTTGGCATGATGATAGCTCACATTCCCGATTAACATTAAAGCAAAAATTCTCATCTCAAAAACCCTTTCGGGCTCCGCCCCAGTGGCTCTGTAGTTCCCCATGTTAATCTTATGATTTTTCATATTTAAAAGGAATTAATGAATCTTAACAGCTGTTTCAATTAAACAAGTTGGTTCTGTTCTATGAGGTTCAATAACATCAAAGTTAAGAGGATTACCAACAGGGTGCAGCACTATTATTTTTTTTTTAATTTATGACAACAGCTAATTTCCAACCAAAAGGTGAGTGAGCGTAGCGAACGAACTTTAACCTGGAGGCGAGTTAGCGTAGTGAACGAGCTAAGCTGAAAGCAAGTGAGCGCAGCGAACGAGCTCCAACCTAAAGGTGAGTGAGCGTAGCGAACGAACTTCAACCAGGACGTGAATGAGCCATGCGAATACTTATGAAGTTAAACGGGGCGAAGCCCGCGGGTACAACTAGTACATTATATTTCTCGTTTCCAGGTGCACAACATAGTGCTGTACCCTCACAAGCACTCTTGGTGTAAGACTACGCCGATCAAGCAAGTAGTGGCGTACCCCGGCTGTGACTCCTTGGAGGTGGAGAACAATGTGTGTGTCGGGGGTTGCTTCAGCTACAGCATCCCTCGTACAATACCCAGCAGTCCGGGCGAGGTGGTGCCATACTGCGACTCTTGCCAGCCTAGCACTCACTCTTGGAGACAGGTTGGTACACCTCAGCTTTTTTTATGAACTGTTGGTCAGTTTGTGCAAAGTACATATAAGTTACACTTTGCTTTAGTAACTTAAAAAATTCAAACTGAAGATTTGAATCCAACAGAGGCATTTGACATGGCGTGAATTACGCTTTTTTGAAGTAGTAAATATAAAGCTTACATTCAACACTTAAGTTCAGAATTTTTTTTTAGAAGTTGGTGGTCTCTTTTATTTAACCTTACATCTGCTCGTCCACATGGGCCGTATACAGTGGGGTACAGTAGTGCGGGGGGGGGGGGGGGGGTTTTCTCACTCTGATGTATGTGTAGTGTATACAATAATGTACCATAATGTTGTAATTTTTACCATAATTATGTTTGTGTTATAAAAACGTTGGAAATATGTTTTGCACTTTTGTGGTCTGACTGTGAAATAAATGGACCCAAACAGGTCACAACACAAGGATCATAGTGTTAAGTCCTGATTCTTATTTAATAAATTAGACGCAGGTATTGTATGGAAACGCAGAACTGTACTGTTAAACAGTAGTAGCTGATACCCAAGACATCTTTGCCTTGGGCCTGAAGTCTGTGGCGCTACCAACTGAGCCATAGACTCATTGCAATGTACTCAAAAGTAGTAAACCTAAAGGTCCGTGATACCACTCTATCCTAGCCAAGAATATACATAGTTAACGCTTTAATATACATCCATACCTCTGAAGTCTAGGAAGTCTTACAATTGTTCAATTCAACGTGAATGTTTAAAACTATTCTAGTGAACATCCATTATAGGGAAGGATGAATTGCGCAGGTGGCGTTAAACTGCTCGTCAGGAGAATATGAGGGCGAGATGCTGACCAAGATGGTGCAGATAATTGAGAACTGTACTTGTGCCAAGTGTAGCGGCCAACGAGAAGATGAGCCGGTGATAGGGGCGGACGACGAGACGGAGGGCGACGAACTGCCTGAGAAACCTCAGCTGATGGATATCATGGACACTACACCTCTCAAGTACAACTACACTGTGCTGTCCAACCAGACCAATGACAATGACACTTTCATCAATCACAGGTCTGTAAATCTGAAAGCTTTCTTGTAGCAGATTGTAACCAGAATTTACTTTTTGTCTTTCCACTTAAGGGAAGCCAAATCTTTCTCCCCAGAGATGGTTGGAAATCAGTAAATCACCATAAGATAACTTTAAAGGTCAGTACAGATTTTTGATATATGTCTCAACTGTTAAAGAAAGTGGAAAGAATCTTCCTTGGAAGCAATGGACTTTGCTCAATAATTTTTTGTGATTTTTAGCGAATTTCACATATTGGGAATATACTTTACCTGTTTAGGTCTCATGGTAAGACCAAGACTTGGGATTGTTTTCTTTTTTTGTTTTGTCCCTTGATGCCAAAAACTGTTAAAATTAATGTCAATCTGCGAGTATGTGTTTGTCAATTAGCACAATAGCTCGAGTAATAGTCAGATTTTTATCAAATTTTGTACAAACAAGTCAATCTACATTTGTTTGAATGAGTTTGCAAACCAGCATGAGCATGAGCACAGGTACGTGGTTTTATGGGGTAAAAATTATTTTCAGACATACGCGGTAATAGCTTATTTCCTATATGGGAAATTTGCTAAAAATGTAATCTTTGACTCATAGTGACACCTCTAGTATATGAAAGATTGTTTATTTTAAACCTTAACAAGTTAGTTTGTCCGTCTCAGTACAAAAGCAATTGAGGACTGTTTGTGGAAGGTTCATTCCACACCAGAAACCAGTTTCAACCATGAAAGACTCCCAGGAGATTAGCAAGTAAGGTGTCCCACAGATGTAAAATTTAAGTGTTTTCAGACTATTCCTTACAATAGAACATTGACCTGTACTGACGTGATGTACCGTTGGTTGAATGTGTTCTACAGTTGATGTGTTCCAGGACGATGGTACTTCTAGGAGAGATCAGTGAGAGAGAGGGAGAGGAAGTAGCTCATGACCAAGTCGCTCTCAAGGAGATACTGCACCATGTGGAGGGTGATGACCACAAGATCAACGGAGTCATTTTGAAAGACTTTGTACGAAAAGTAAGTCTCTGAATCATCTTATATCTTATGTTTTTTTGCTATTCGGATACCTTGATTTATTTTCCAAATAGTTAAGGCAATACACATAATGCTTAGCAAGGAACACAATTATTTTTTTACTTCTCAAAGTTTTATAAATTCAAAATATTTATCCCACTACACATACCTTGGCCTTTGGTCTTTTCCTACATTGCACTTGTTGTGATAAGTTTTCATCATCACAAGCATAAACATACAACATGGTGTGTTGTGACTTTTAGCACCGGATTTAGGGTACGGCACTAGGCCCTAGGCCAAATTAACCTGAGCAGCCTCCTCCCAGGTGGAACTTCCCGCAATCGCGATAAACTGTTTTTGTAAAAGACGCTGCGGCCCCCATTTGCTTGCAGCCACACAACAATACAATAGTGTAGAGATTTAGGCCTAGTTTATATCTTTTTTTTGTTTGCGATTGTCACATAACCAGTAGACTGAAAGACACGATAGTGTCAATAAATTTGACCAAAAATACCTTAATTCCTGTTTCTTAATATTGGTTTCGTTTTCAGGTTGAGGAAAAAGGACACATGAACATAAATTTGGAGCGTTTACAGAGGGTGCTGGAAAAACTTGAACACGCAGAACACAAATACAAGAATGGACACAGACACCAACATCAACATATGATGGCTGGTCCACACCATTCGCTGGTAAGTTTCACACTGAATCGGACAAAACAAAACATGACAAGACGTTTTATATACCATTAAAATGTGCTGTTTTATCTACAGCTAACTGCGTCTTGCGATCTCTGAAACATAGTTAGTATAAGTTTAAGTAGAGCTAGCTCACACATAATTGAACACAATTTTCTAAAGTTACGGTAAACATTTCCCAAGATTTTTTTCAATGTCTGGAGAAGGTTTAATGATTTTTTATAAAAAGATTCGTTCAAATAATACCAAAGACACACTTCTCGAATTGTGATCTGACACAGGGCTTTTTGGAGGCTATGTTGTGTGTTCTCAGATGTGCAGATCATGAAAAAACAAGATACAAATTGTCTTTTTTTGCACTGTTGTATTCGATGTAATGAGCTGGCTTTACGTTACTGAACTAAACAATTTTTTAGATATAATTTTTACGAAACACAACAAATTCTAATTGTAACTCTACTGCCGTATTTTAAGGTGCACCTGTCATATTGTCAACTGAACGATTATTATTTTTCATTAAAAAAAATAACTACCTCCTTTCCCTAAAAGTGTTAAGTGCTTCTCGTGAGTTATTCTTCAAGTAAGAATGACACTGGCATCAACAACAAGAAAAACATGTTTGTGACCTTTTTAGTTAAGTTATCGTTGATGTAAACTGGAATTGATGTTGTTTGAAGTTGATGTATGCGGTAAATAAACTTCAATTGAATTGAAAAATAAAATTACTAAACTCTGGTTTCAGCGTTCTAGTCACCTAAAGCATAGGAGGAAGCAACTTGAACTTCCTATACAAACCTCTAACATTTTGCCTAATTAAATCAACATAAAAACACCTGAGTACACATTAATAAATTGTTTGCTAACCCAGGTTCTACCGAGAGATTCGCCGCCGGCGCCAGAGATGTACCTCAAGCCAACACTGGACGTCCCGTCACACATGCTCAAGCCGGCTCGCGACGGAGCGGAACTGAGTTACCACAACAACGAGATACCAGACCATCATGACGATGAGATCAGCAGCGATACTGAGTAACAGGAAACATCCAACAGCTTAAACTTTAGAATACCGGTACCACTAGAAACAACTAATAAGCTGAAACCATTAGGCAGCTGTGTTTAACAATTAGCGAAGAAATTTACAAAGATTAGTCCTGAATTGCAAATTATTTTCCAGTTGAAGAAAACTTAAACTTGCGATAAAATTAACAATAGTATGTGATATGTTGTGGGCAAATTGACGCATGTAGAAACTATGGCCGTAAGCTGAGTGGATTATGCAGTCGCCTTTTTTAATATAACCCCTATACTAGCACTGTAATTTTCAATAATTCTAAGTAAAAAAGCATAAACAAGATTATGATCTATTCACTACGTCGGCCCTACCGATTTTATTGCTTTATTCCTAAGTTTACTGTAACACTGTGTTTGACTTCTTTTGAACACAGAATCGTAAGGTTTGAATTGTAGTAATGCATCCTTAAATTTTTTAACTAACATTTTATTTTGATGGTTATCATTTTTTTTAGTTCGGAACAAGTGTTGATTAAGAGTGTGTTTAGAATACTTCCAGGCCATCAATTATTAACAATTATAAATTTAGTAGTTTGAAGTTATTCTAAATCTGATACAGACATCATTGTGCTTCCCTTGATTAAAACAAAGCATCACATCAGATTGAAGTATTTTGAAAAGACTGTACTGGTTATTCAGTGCTAATGTATGGCTAGGGTGACTGTATAAATCCAAGATTAAATAGCTGATTGTTTTAGGACCGAGGACATTGTCTCCAGAAACTTTTTTGTCAAAGTACTATGCTGTTTCATAGAGTTGAAAAATACAAAATCAAAAGAATACCAATTGCTTCGAAGTTTAAGTTCAAATATTCTTAGTACTTAATACATGTCACAGCAAACATTGTGATTTCAAAGTGATAATTGTAACGGTTATATCAAGCTTTAATCTAGATTTAGTTTTGTACATAATAGTTAACGTAAAAGACACCTTTAACATTAGTACCGTACTACCCAGCAAAATGTAATATTTTAACACTGTTCTTGACGGTTTTATTTTACCTGTGTTATGTTAATCAGAATGTTATCTGGCATAGCTTTATACTGATCCACCTTGTTTTCGATGTCTTGTTTTCCAAAGCTAGCTAGTCAAATACATGTCTAGTTTTCTATCATTTGTATTATATGATATTGATAATGTGAAATCAAAGCTTTAATTGAATAATGTAGTTGTAGTATGTTGAGTTTATTGTTTGAGATTCATTGTTGAGATGGTGCATTGACTTGGTACAGAGGAGGTTTATCGGAATCTTCCATCAGTAATGGAATACAATTGCTCAATAGGTAGAGAATAGATTTCTTTGGTATTATATAGTTTAAATGTATATGAAAAGATTTGTAATTTATTTAACTCGATAGTTCCGTTTGATTTAAAAAATTTAAACCGTGACTGCAAGAGTGCATAGGTTAAAAGGAAAGCTACGCTCTCAATAAGTGATGGAAGATTAATGATGAACCTCTTAAAATAAGTAAATGTTGTATTAAATGAAATAAACACTAATTTTATTTTGTTGATGTTGTTTAAATTGATATGAAAAAACCCAAGTCTTGTTTGAATAATAATAATACCATTGCCTTTGGATACTGCAAATCCATGTGTATAATGTAACAAACATTCAATGGTACACTTAAGTTGTTTTTAGCACTAGTCGCTGTTTTCTAAGGCAATGTCCAACACCGCCCCCTCGCCATCATGTACTACAACAACGCTTATGGTGGATGAAGACTGTGTACTTATCGATAGAGATTTCCGCACGATACTCGTCTCTCAGGCTCTTCCCTGCTCAAGATGAAAGCTCAAGGTCGTCTCATGAGCAAGTTTCCTCTGTGGTACAACTGAGATTTGATGTGCTCCAAGTGTTGTTCCACTTGTATCAACTAATCTGTATAGGCTATGTTTAGTAAATTTTATAGAATGTGCTTTATTATTTGGTTGTGATGATGTTAAAAGTTGATGAAAATAGCGAGGAATATATAATACAAATCAAAACTCTTTCTTCATATTAAACTAAAGTCGGTATTATGGAACCTGTATCCTGACTCTCTGTTACCTGGGTAGTGGGTACTACAGAAACATTCTTAGAGTTTTTGCCGGCTGGTCAACAAGGATGAAAAAATTGAAAAGTCTATAAGAGTGTGTAATCTATGACAGTACTTAAACCCACAAAGACACAAAAAATACAGTTAATTCTGTGTGCAGAACTTACCTATTGTCTGTTTGTGTTTGTAGTCAACATTTTATCAAGAATGTTAGAAAAACCACAAAGAGGTGTACATTGAAAATACAAATCAAAATCTGTACCTGTAGCAAATGCAATGTACAAGACCAATATTGCATTATTAACTTAAAAGCTGTAAATTGCTGTAGGACTTGTGTGGAGTAGAGAAAAACATTTAATAGTGTCTAAACATTTTACTAAACATACTTTAAAAATAAAATGAAAGCTTATAATGAAAGCTTTTATAACATTAAAAACAATTTATTAGAAAACCATAGTGAACTTTAAGATAATACAATCAGTACATATGTTTTATTGATTTCATTTCAAATTTTAAACAACAGTTCAGTAATATCATAATTGATTTTACATTATTTATTACTTTTCTTTCCTTTTTTTGGGCCTTTTGTTGGCTTTGTCATCTTTTCCTTTATACTTGCAGGAGATAGTGCTTTAGATCTCTTACCTTTCTTTTTATCAGTTGCTACTTTGGATGGCTCTGATTCTATATTAACGTTTTTAGCAGTTATCATATCATTTATAACTTTTTCTCGCAGTTCTGCAGCCTCCATGAATATTTGTTTGTTGATATCCTAGAACAGTAATTCATTCACTGAAGAGGACTTACAATAATCACTGAATCCTTCACATAAAAAGTTTCAGAAAATCCTTTTCAGAAACCTTTAAGTAAGACAAAGAATACTGAAAAATTAAGCTGACCTGTATATTAGGTTGAATGAAAGGAGAGTAAATACTTTATTTTGTGAACCAAAAGACAAGATTTGCATACAGTAGGCCTACCTTCCTTGGGACTTTTCAAAACCTAATTAAATGTGTTTTATGGTATAATGTTTGAACTTTCAAAGGAGCTATACACATTACGATTGAAGAGCTTTCAAAAATTTATAGTTCCTTATGCCGTGGTTTCACTTTTGTATTTTACTTACTCTTATTGACGAATCTAAGAATTACATTGGGCCTTACATTCAAGTTATTTTGAATGTGACAGGTCACAAAAAATCTATTGTTGAAAAACTTGTTTCTACGTTTTTTATAAAATTATTCTAAGTTCTACGATATAAAATTCTTTGAAAGTGGATGTTACATACAGTTTCTTGTCAACAATTTGGTGCCTATAGTCAGAAATATTGATTTATTACTTAAATGTTTAACGACCTACTGCCTTTGCCTAACTGTTTTTGTGGTTGAGATTTTAATCTTTTAGGATTGGGATTTGAGCCTAGAGGTACTGTTAAAAATCTAGAGTCTAAACTAAAAAATAATTTATAGATAGCAAACGTTACCAATGAACCATCACTATACAATAGATTTTTATGATGTTCTTATACACAGAGTGTTCCATGTAAGGTGTCTCAAATTGATTACGGGAAAACGGCTTAACGTACAAGGATGAAATAAAATTATTTCCCTCTGAGTCGACCCCAAGGAATAGCGTAAAAATATGTTTAACCTTTTTCCAATACAGGGTATGCCAAAAACTGAGGGGCACTAGTTTGAATCTCGGAATTTTCAAATATAAATATAAGTTATGTTATACATAATTTTAAAGTCATGATAACATGAATTATGTTTACATTTTAAAATTCCAAGATTCGAACTAGTGAACCTCTGTTTTCGGCACACTCTGTATTGGAAAAAGGTTAAAAATATTTTTACGTTATTTCTTGCGGTTGACTTAGCGGGAAATAATTTTATTTCATTCTTGTACGCTAAAAGCCGTTCTCCCGTAATCAATTTGAGACAACTTACATGGGACACCCTGTATATTTGATGGATTTAAAATATTGCTAACCAAATTCTTTTCTCTCAAGTTCTGAAGAGCTCTGTGGATTCCTGATTGCTGAACAAGGATATTTGTATGATCCAACCGTTTTCCAGATTTTTCGGAAGATGTCTGTAGTGAACTGCTTCCCTAAAAAATTCAAAAGTAAATTATAGCAACTAACAACTAGGCTTCCTAGGAAAAATCAACTCTCCTTTTGACAAAATATCTAAAATAATTAATACAGTACACTAAATGAAAAAAAAAATAAATAAATACCCCTGCCACAGTAAACCTGCCGACTATTGAATTTCCATTTACCTGATTGGATTTTCACTTTAAAATATTAAACAAATGTTAGGTTTAACAAATACCTAGGTTTAAAATAATATTAATTTGAACGAATGGTGTTTTTTGGCCTTTGGGAACATCAAAACGAAAAGTAAATTGGTCCCGGTTTCAGGTCTAACCATAAGACCTACGGAAATATATCATTACGTGGAAAATTTGCTAAAAGGGAGTATTTAAAACGAAAAAGAGAATAAGAGCAATGTAAATATATGAGATAAATGGAGTAGTTTAAAAACTTATAATGGGTTGTGAATATAAGCCTTTATAATATGTGCACATGGGTTTTTGATCAAGGTCCCATTCATCAATGGATAAAAAAGGGGACATAAGATGCCCAGAAAAAAAAAACAAAAGCTATAAGGGGACATAAAAAGCAGACAAGGGTATGGAGTCTCTAAGTATGTTGGCCTTAGTCACTAAACAAGACTACAAGCTCGCGCCACTCATCCTACACTCATCTACATTCTCATACTTGGCTTAAAATACCTAGTATACTTTGTATGGTTGCCATTTCAATGAAAAGTATTAAAAAGCATCAAAGTCCTTTAATTAAAAGACAAAGAGGACAGGCATTGTTATAATGAAAATTTTCTTTCCTTAGATATGAAATACAAAAATTGTTAGTAGAAGCAATGTCCAGAAAAAATACTTTAATAATTTAAATACATTTTTGTAAAGTTAAATAGAGGAGTAATGGGTTGCTTGACCAAATATATCATATTTAATTTATTATAATATTATTAATATTTAATTTATTATACTTAACATTAAATCCATAGCTAATATATTAATATAAAGGCAAATAACTCAAATGGAAACCAACAAGAAATGTGTCCACTAAAGAAGTTTGGCTAATATAAGTAAGTGCTTGAACAATACAGGGCACTTTAGAATTGAATTGATGTAAAAGGAAATTAGGTAAATATAGACGTAAAATTGACATACTCAGAAAGTCTAACCTACTGGGTTGAACTGGCAGCTCCAATCTCCATGGATGGAGTGGATTTGGTGTACTTGGCATAGTATTGAGGTTTTCATGCTTTAAGCCATTAGGTACCATGATGCTAATTGTATACTTGACTAAGCTTTTAGTTGTATGTGTTTCAGCTTCTAAATTGACAGTTCAGGATCATTATGATTCGACCGGGTCGTCTCTGGCAGAAGTAGTCGCAAACTACAAACTATTGCAATCTGAGAGGGTGATTATGATTAGCAGTGAAGTTGAAGAAGTTCCTTACGCAACTAAGATAATTAAAGCTTTATCGACCTCGGTGGTGATTAAAAAAATTGATTACGACATTTCTGAGTATGATGTAACACTTGTTGTGTTTTCAAGCAAGAGACATTTTTACTATAAATTATTGAAACATGTAAGAGTTGAAAATGAGGCGAGACTTCTTATCATGTGGAATTGGCCGAGCCGGACAAAAGAGAGTGCCGATAAAAGTTTGACAGATACATTGCAGGATATATTGGCTGTTATGTGGCTCCACCAGATATACGATGTGTATATACTAGTGGAGGATGAACGTTTTGATGTGAATGTTTACACCTATCTGCCCTATGGAGAGGAACACTGCAACGAAGTTGGTCCTCCAATACTCATTGACACTTGGAACAAGAGTTTTAAGCGATTCAAGACAAATAAATTCAGGATTGACGACACTAAATATAATACAAGACGTCAACTAATGAAAAATTTGTACGGATGTCCGATTAAAGTGTTGGTGAAAAACAGGCCTCCAGAGTCCATAGCTTTTATGTCAGTGGACAACAAACTTGTTCTCAAAGGCAGCGGAGGAAGTATTCTGGCTTCAATGATGAAAAAGTATAACTTCACCGTCAAAATTAAGTTAGCAGAAGACGGTTTACACTCGAGTAATCGTGATTCTTATGGCTTAGCCATGTCTACTTACACATCCAGGATGCTTGTACGAGAGATTAGAACTGGCAAGTATGATTTTGCATTTGGAGTGTTTTCACACCTCGCTTATTTCACAACAGATTTGGATTTTTCTCAATTCTACTTCAATGAAATTTTCGCTTTCCATGTCCATTGTGGGACCAAGAGAAGTTTTTTATCCATTTGGAGTGACTATCACAAGGAGTTTTCTGCGTCAACTTGGGCCTTTGTTGGATCTGTATTTTGTATCATTGCTCTCGTTATGAAAATTATAGCATCGGTTCTTCCAAGAGAGAACAAAATGTACATATCGTTCTGGGAAAACGTTTTCAGCTTGTGGGCAATCCATATTGAGAACAGTGAGAATAGTAAAATAAAAACCCTAACAATGAGAATCGTAGTGACATCACTGATGTTCTACTGTGCAATCATGTCAGTAGCTTACAAAGCATCCCTCAAGAGCCTGTTATTGGCTAATTGGGAAGAGAACAGCATAAAAACATGGAATGAGTTGGACGAATCAAACCTCTCCATCTCCGGAGTTCCTGAAATGTACGATATCTTCAGTAAAATAAGTGTAGGACACAGTACACTGCGGAAATTAAGGAAAAAATTCAAGGTAATAACAAAAAACACATTCAGCGACATTGTAGAAAATGTTACAATCAAAAGAAATACCGCTTACTTTGGTCCAGAGAGTATGATTGCCTTTTACAATTCTATTGAAAATGAAAAGAAGGAGAAAGATAAACAGAACATTTGCCAAGTCAATGAGATCGTCGCTGCTTCACCTGCTTCGTTTTTCCTGATGAAAAGAGGTTCCATCTTCCAAGACCTCATCAATCAAGTCACGGTGTGTATTGCTTGTAAAGTAAACCATTAAACTTAAGACATTGAATAACGTAAACATTGTTTGAGTCACTTCTATTTTGGTTACAAAATATGTAATACCGGTACTCAAAGCATGAAGGACTTTGATTATATCGATCAATTTTTTAGCATAAACTCTAGCTAACTTATATGCTCAGCTTAGGCAGAATCTACATAGTCTATTCACTGCCACTTCAGAAGGTGTGAAATTTCTAAGCCACCCTAATGATAGATAATTGATAAAAAAGATACTTTTAGGGTTATGTGGCAGACGGAAACTGTTGCATTGTTGTGGCAGTTTAATTAAATTGCCTAGAGAAAGTTGTTCTAATAAAACTTTTGTAAAATCAACGGTTTTTGAGTTATTTAAGAAACCAAATTTTAAATGGCCGCCATTTTGTTTTATGAGTTTGAAAAATTTTCAAAACTATTTTGTAGCTTTGTCTAGTTGTCATGTTAGTGCAAAGTTTAAAATTTCAGAAAAAAAATTAATAAGCGAAAAAACAAAATGGCGGCTGTGTGAGTAACTAAGGACTTCCGGACAATTTAAATATTGTATATAGATACGTTTCTTGCCCAGGAAAAATGCCCTAAAATATTGGTAGTTATGAAACACCCTGCATATCATTCTTGTACTTTACCAACTGACCTGCTTTACTAGCTTTCTAGCTTTACTTGACACGCTTCACAAAAAGGCCTAAGACTGATGTGAAAAGGAAAATTTAAGGTTAAGAAGCCGTTTGCCAATCTCTTTAAGAAGAAAATATATTTTTTACGATTTATGTTTACAGAACAACATGGTTCAGACGGGACAGATGCAGCAGTTTGCCGTTCCTAAAGTAGTAAAGCAAGTTTCTCGTCGAAATATGCGTGATGACCAGCTTCCAGCATCCACCCAACAACTCAAGGGAGCTTTCCTGTTGCTTCTTGCTGGGCTGGCTCTTGCTATGATTGTGTTTGTCTTGGAAATATTTTTTAGGAAGTTTAATTTAGAGAGATTGATGATTACAAGAAATCAGCAACATATTGATTTTATTAATTAGCTATCTTTTGTACAAGCCAGTTGAGTAGAACAATGTCCATGTAATGTTCTCTTCAAATTAATTATCTGTGATTTTTACTTTCTCCCCCTATACCAAAAAAAGTGGTTTTCGAAGTGATGTCTGTCTGTGTGTGTGTCTGGATGTGTACAAAGCTAGAGACTACACCTGTGGTCCGATTTCGATGAAATTTGGTATGTAGGTTCTAATCCATGGTATCTCCAGGAGTTTTTTAATGGGGATTTTCCCATAAAAACACGGAAAAGCTTAATTTTTCCAAAAATGGCCCGAACGATTTTGATAAAAAATTTAGTATGTTGTAGCCCTTTAAATTCTGAACAAAATGGTACAAATCCCATTTCTGTAAAAATTACAGTTCAAAAGTTATTGTAAATTATGTTATTTTCCCCTAAAAAACCCCATAAAATAACGGGAAAATCGGTTTTTTCCAAAAATGGCCGAACGATTTTGATACAATTTTTGTATGTTATAGTCCTTTAAATTCTGAACAAAATTGTACAAATCCCATTTCCGTTTACATTTCCGTGCTTTACTCTCGCCGCTTACACATGATTAAGGTTGTTGACAAACTTATGGGAGAAAGTATGTGTTAGAATGCTGATACCGTTTATTTTAAGATAAGTTCTATGATGATATTATGTTTATGACAGACGCTAAATTGTAGTTGAAAGAAATTATTATATACTTCTAATCAGGCAGTGTATAAAAGATAGCTTACCTAGCAAACCTGCACACTAAGCTAATTTTTTTATTTGCCTGATTGGAGTTACACAAAAATGTCTCCTTAAGAGTATCACATCTATTCCCTATTTAAATAGAATTAGTTTAACAAGTACTTAGGTTTGCTGCAACAGGAAGGTTAAAAACGTTTTATTTTTTTGTAAAATGTTAATAGTTTAGCAATAAATAAATGCATTTTCAAAATTTTATCAAAATATTTTCATAAACAAACAGTTTTATTCTCC